GGTAGGAGCAAACACCGCTAGTATCACGGGGGAGGCTCCATCTATTGGTGGGGAGCAGCACCTGCTGGAAATCGGGTCCAGCGTCCCTGAACATTTGAGTGATTGCCTACATGTCGCACTGAGTACATGACAATGGCTGAGAACCATGACCCTACTCCCGACTTCGAGAAGATTTTTGGGAGTACTCCCGAACGTCCGACAACGCGAAAATCCATTCAGGAGTGCGCTTCGCCACATTGCACTCCTGACCTGGGGCGCTCTCTGATTTGGAGGCCATGAGGTGCACTTCAGACAGAGACCGTCCAGCACTATCCAGCATGTGGCGACAAAAATTGTGAGGAAAATGCTTGTCTACACATGAGTTCTCCAGTCGAAGCACAGGCCTCCGTGAGAGGCCGCCCGAAAATGGCCTTTTACAGGCCGGAGGCTCAAGCCATTTCCAGAGTGCTCTCGGTAGCCACATTCTGACAGCTCCCGAGTTCTACCATTCAATCTGACAGGTTGAACTCGGGAGCTGGTGTGGAGACGCTCCTCTCCCAACAATGGTCAAGTAGGGAGTAGTGTGGCGAGGCCCTGACTGGAGCAAGAGGACCCAAAATCCAGTTGCGAAATGGGGAAGCAGTCTGTCCAGCCACTATCGGGCATCCCATTTTTTTACGAAAATACGATTTTGGGTACGCAGTGTGAGCGTGTCATGAAAGGCGGCCCAGCTACAGCTACAGCTCTATTGACCGTACGTTCTATTCGGGGGACGACGGGTAGTGTGATTGGGCCAGGGGGAAGAAGAAAGCTAGTCCGAGTGCGCCAGGGGGAAGAAGAAAGCTCAGCCTTCCCACGCGTACTTGTGAGTAGTGTCAAGCTCAGCCTGATAGCGCAGCCAATGGAGTGTCGACAAAACGACCTACGTTGGAACCTCTTGAGTCAGATAATATAAACAACTCTTTTTTTTTTTTTTTTTTTTCCGGCAGAACACAAGACTTCACAACTCTGAACTGCGGCCAGTCAGTTCGGTGATGATATACCACAAGACCGTCGCTGAGGTCTGCAATGTTCTGATTCTGACATCCAGCCACATTCTTTTTTTTCCCCTTTTTTCAGCTACATTCTGACCGGACAGGAAAGAAAATAAAGGAGCTAAGGGCCTCGGTCCGCTACCCAACAGTCATTGCATTCATCTCACGCCTACTAATGGTCCGATGCATTCGAAATGTCGACTCAGTCCAAATGTATCTGATCTTCTAACTGTCCACATACACGTCTAGTGTTATGCAGTGGAGCGAGGCCCTAAGCTGGATACACCCCACAACAAAGGCGCACAGATCGGCAGGACCTTCTCAACTGAGCGGAATTGCATTTTATATTTTTTATTTTCTGCGACTGAATCTACGTCGGATTTCCGTCATGTACATTCCATCCAGCGAAGTTCTATCTGTAGGTAGCGAGTGCACCCAAATATCAGTAGACCTGTCGCCGGCATCCCGGGGGGGTACTACGGCCCCGCCGACGTGCGCCACCGCGCGGCTCCTCCAAATAAGGACCCGCTCCAGTACTTGTCAATTTTTATTGTGCTGTGGAGCTGCAGTAGGCCCTGTAGCTGGCATCCCAACGGCAAGGATGCTGATCTTGCGGACGGAACGGTCACAACCTGTAGGGGCACGATGGGTGAGGTCCAACTTGCCATCCGCCAAAATCCTGACATTAGGGCTTTTCCAGGTCCCACTAGCAAAAAGAATTGACGCCTGAATCTGGACGGGTCTGTGGAGATGTTCGGAATATCGCGATGGATCTGCCTTGCAAATGTAAACTTGCATCAGGAGCGAGGTCCCACTACCAAATAAAATTGACGCCTGAATCTGGACGTGTTTGTCAAGAGGTGCGGAATATCGCGCTCGTTCTGCTTTTCTGCATCTCTGCGCAAGACCCGTCCAGATTCAGGCCCTGCAGCCAATCGTCTCTGCAAGTGCAAGCTAGAGCAGATTGTAGTGTGCGCATAACGGGACAAAAGGGCGACAAACGCCAATCGTCCGCAGAGCCCTTTTTTTTTTTTTTTTTTTTTTCCCTACAGAACAGATCCTGTTCAAGTACAGTCGTACAGCCCATTTCGATTCGCAGGGGAAAACTCTTATTTGAAAAATCAGATCTTCTGCAGAGACAACAGTCACAAGCACAAGACTCGGGCCGCGGTTACAGTCGACAAGTAAAAGGCGAAAGAACAGCACGCCAGTTCTTTTTTTTTTTTTTTTTTTTTTGGGAAAGTACGCCAGTTGAGCTGGGCACGCAGGTTTTTTTTTCCTTCTCTTTTCTTCTCTCGCTACTCCATGTATAGTACGGGGCTCGGTCCCACCTGCGCCTTTCCATTGCAGGAGGCTACCACGAAGAGAATGGCGGCCCCCTAAGGACCATAGATTGAGGCAATCTATGGTCCCTAGACACCCGCCAGTCCCTTCGTGATAGCCTCCTACAACGGAAAGGCGCAGGTGGGACCGGACCCGGGGGAACACCAACCAAACCTAGAACTCTTCCCCGCCCACAGGGTAGGTTGGCACCACAGCAGTGGTGCGAGAGCAAGGCTTGTATCAGCCCCTCATCACGGTGATGCGGCGTGATCAGGCATCGCCGATGGAGAAACCAGCTATGCAAGTACGAGCATCTTTGGGCCTTTTGCCAGTCACACGCACTTCCCCTACCCCCCTCCAACCCCGCGTTAGTGGTGTCTAATGACCAATATAATTTCTGCATAGCAACCAACAATATTCGCCAAGGTCCTGCCAGGGCCAAGGGTCATCTCCAGCTGGTAGAACACCAAGCATGCCCAGGGGCGTACGTGAGGCCAGAGGGGATTGAACCCAGGCCCTCCTGAATGCAAATTGTCAACTGAGCTTAAAATTGTTCAAAAGAAAAATCGCGCCAAGCGATGACAACATACCTCAGGCCACGGAGTACATACGTTAACGTTCCTTTTTTCCTTTTTTTTCTGGGAAGATCGGTCAGTTCTATACGACTGACGAGCACCAGCGGCACCATGTGCGTCGCTGCACTATCCATATGCACAAAAGACTGGAAAACATGGCGGTGTATCTTCCCATGTTGTAGGAGAAGGTTCATTCTCATTTTGCACCTTCCGTGAGTAGTGGAGAAAGGACACCTGGGCCATAGGCTACAAGAAGAAAGGAAAAATCTCTCTCTCTCTCTCTCTCTCTCTCTCTCTCTCTCTCTCTCTCTCTCTCTCTCTCTCTCNTCTCTCTCTCTCTCTCTCTCTCTCTCTCTCTCTCTCTCTCTCTCTCTCTCTCTCTCTCTCTCTCGCGCGCGCGCGCGCGCGCGCGCGCGCGCGCATGAGAGAGAGACTATTTCGTGAAGCGAAGGGCGTATCTTGACATAGAAGATGGCGAAATACACTCGCTATTTTCGTCTTTTTCACTTTTGGAGATTGGCGGGGAGAGAGAGAGAGAGGTAATCATGACACCCAAGAGAGAGAGCGAGAAGTCATCATGACACCCGCGCTTTGCGAACCCCTCTGCTGAACGGTCTAGGCGCACCGAAAACCGCCGTCGGTGGAGCATAACACGGAGCCAGCCAAACCGTTAAAAAAGAAAAGGGGAAACTACGCGCGACTCACAAAAAATGAGTTATAATTGCACTATGGGCCAAGATGGAATTTCGAATTGCAGTTCGGGCAATGTATACAACCCAGCTTTCTGGACAGGTAGGGTCCCCGAAGTCCAACTGCGAACTGCATCTTGCCCCATAGTGCAATTATAACTCGTTTTTGTGACTCTACTGAAGTTACCCCCCCAAGAAAACACGGAGCCAAACAACACAAAAATCGAATTGTTGTTTGTAAACAGTACAAACGTACATGTTCAACGGATCAGAAGATCAAGAGCTCAAAACCGCAGCATATAACAATGGAAACGTAAGATCGTAAAACACACCACAGCGGTTATTCCAACCAAACACACGTAGGGACGCACACGACAATATTCACACCGCCCTCTTCCCGCCAACACTCCCCCACACGCATACTCAAGCATTCAAGCACACGCGCACACGCACACACGCACACACGCAAACGCCCACGCGCACACGCACACGCACACACGAAAACGCCCACGCGCACACGTACAAGCACACGCACACGGAGAATGTTCAGAAATAGAACACACGCACACGTACACGGAGCAACGTTCAGAAATAAAATACACGCACACAGGTTCACACACCCCTCTCCACGCCAAAATACACACACACACACAAAAAAGAAGACCACTCACGCACGCGCACACTCACGAACTCACACGCACAAGAACACGCACACGCACACGTACACGCACACGCACACGCACACGCGCACGCACACGCACACAGAACAATGTTGAAAAATGCACACGCACAAGAGCACGGTCAGCCTTTTCTCTTGTCGAGTTGTACTAAGCAACTTCAGAACACACGCAGAATAATGTTCAAGCATACACGCGTAAGCGCGCACAAACACGCGCGCACCTACACACACAGAATGATCATTACAGACGGGGTAATTGCAGAAATAGAGCGTTTTCGAAGTTTCCCAATAGAAATGTTGTCGGGCTCCGAAAGATGTATCTCTGCAACGAAAGTGGGACCCCGCCCGCAAATACTTTTGCTGTGAAACGACCGGCACCTGTAAAGCCGCAACGAAGATGTATTTCTTTGGCCCCGCCACTATTTTTGCTGTGAAACGAACGCGAACGCGCTGTTTTTTACCCGTTGTCACACACACACACACACACACACACACACACACACACACACACACACACACACACACACACNCACACACACACACACACACACACACACACACACACACACACACACACACACACACACACACACACACACACGCGCGCGCGCACACACACACACGCACTCACACACACACACACACAGAGAAACATGCGCGCAGGCGGGCACATTTGAGTAGGCTCCTTCGCAGGCATAGAGAGAGACAGAGAAAGACGGACCTGAATCTGTTGTCCGAGGTAGTGAATGTGTTCGCGCATCATGGTAGCAGCTCGGCGGAGCGCATTTGCATCCGTGGCATGCAGCTCTCCAATTTTGAGAGCCAGAGTCGCTGCGTCTTCTCGCATACGCCGGATCTCCTCGCGCATAGCGGCTGCTTGTTCCATGGCCTTGCTCACGGAAGACGAGTTGCCCTCCTCCTCGTTGATAAACCTGGCCACGAAGTTCCCGCATTTACTGAGCTGACTTAGTGGAGTCTCCATCAGTCCAACTCTTCCCGGACAGCTACCCCCCCCCCTTGTTCTCGCGTCGAAGTCATCACAGCTCCCACACTGTTGGCTCAGTTGTGGGCAATCCCGATTCTCGATCGCGACCCTAGTCGAAAATCCTCCACGAATCCCGTCTTCCTCACCGCACCGGTAGGCTGACGTTTGCCAACACCCGGAACAAACAACTTGTTGCTCCTCTTTGCTCATCATGATCACTCCTCCTCCTCCTCCTCCTCCTCCTCCTCCTCCTCCTCCTCGTTCTCCACCGAGTTCTCCTCCTCTTGACTTCCCTCTTACTCTTTCATTCCACACCCTCATGTTTGGTGAGCGCGGCGATGGCGAAGAGTTCATTCTGTCTCTCTCACATCGGGTCACTGACCATCCGTCATCGTTATTGGACTCCAAGATAGGGGAGGCTCCTGATGGGTGATAATAGCTATCACTCAGCTCTTCCTGGCCCTGGACGGCTCTATTAGAAAAGGGGGAAAGAGTGGCTGATGCTTCTGTCCCATCCTGTTCATGCTCGCGTAACGGCCCATCTACAAGGACAGATCGGATGCTTAACAAGTTTTTCTTCCTTGGCGCGCATTTTATCGACTGATTGGATGCTTGAAACGCGACACGTGTCGTCGTCTCCACATATGTTCCAAGCTTTCCCCCTTCCCACTTTCCAGTCGGGGTAAACGTGCATTCGGATCCCAACTCCCGTTCAGAATAAACGCCCCCCAGAGGATCGCACAAAATGGATCCCTCACTCTCACCGCAAATCCCATTCACATAACGCCCCTCTCCTCCTCCTCCTCCTCCTCCTCCTCCTCCTCCTCCTCCTGCTACTGCTGCGGTATTAAGCATGTCACGTTCTTGATGTGTTGCTTTCACCACTGCCCCCCCGTATCCACCCCCATACATCCGTGAAGGTCCATTTGGGTTCATCACCCTTCGGAAAATCCCGTTTCCAATCTGGCAAAGATGATTTTCAGAACACGACAACCACAACAGATCAAAGTATGGATAAGTATGGATAATAGGCCTTGCTCCACTAATGAACATTCAGCATGTAACTGGACAGCACTTCGCACTAGATGCAGTCTCACTGATCGAACGTATTGAATGTATTAGCACCATTAACCTTCAGATACATGCAGAATGTCCTGCAGTTGAGCGAGGCCCAATAAGTGTGGATAAGCGTTCCCTGAACGACAGGACGAGAACAAGAGATGCTGCATCCTAGCCGTAGATCCCCCTCTCAAATACTTGGCCTTCGGGAGGCTTAGCCAGGTGTCCCAAAAAAGGGGAAAATAAAAAATAAAAAATATTAGCAAGGTGACAGAGGGATGAGAAAGGGACAGGTTTCCATCGTTATCGACTCATATAATTTACACAAAATCGGACCCAGCCCCAGCAGGTGCCTTGGTGGCGTTTGGCGGATCTGGGCAAGTGTAGGCAGGCCTTTTTTCTTTTCTTTTTTCTGAAAAGAAGTAGCAGCAGCAACCATTCCTTCCAACAAAAGGAGGGTCCAAGGGGGTGCCATGTGCAAAAAAGAAATAAGGGAAGACCGAAAAATCACGCGCAATGAGCTCTGAGCAAAAGTCATTCCGAGTCGAACAAGATTACAACCTTCCCTGCCCGTCGTGGGGCGGATTCACATTCTCGCATTGCCCCCTTCCTCTTTCTCCTCCTCCGCCGCAGCCGGTGGTGAAGTAGTGCAGCACGACAACAAAAATACCCCCTCCTCTCAGCAATGCGTGCAAAGCCCCCGTCAGAACCCGCTCAAAAAGGGCTTCAGCTTCGACTTCACAGAGCTCAACAAACATCCCGCCAATGCCCCGTCTTCTACCACCCTGATCAAAAACATGCCCGACTGTAGCAATTCCTAGTAAGAGCTGGTCGCCACCAACTCCCCTCCTCTATGCAGACATACTGTAGTAATAAGAGTGCACCTATCCTTCCCCACTCTCGCGCATTCCCCGCCGTCTTCCTTACACGTCCGCCCGGGTTTCGTTCCTCCGCGCTCAAAATTTAGTCCACATCTTGCATGGCCTGCTGCACCTCAGATTCCGTAAACTTGGCCTTCTCTCCCTTGGCGTCTGGTGCCCTTCCTTTGCCTCTCCTCTCCAGCAGAGCCTTCCTGTCCTTGTCCAGTTTCAGCTTTGTGATGACCACCTTCGACGGATGAATGCCCACATTGACAGGGGCGCCATTAACCTTCTCCCGCGTGATCAGATCGACGTGGATGCCCCTCTTCTTCCTGTGGACTTCACAACTATGGCGTCTCTGCCCTTGAACGTGCCCCTCACGACGGAGACCTCATCATCCTTCCTGATGGTAACAGACCGCACATTGAACTTGTTCCTCGAATCCGACGAGAGCGGCGAGCTCATGAAAATGCGCCTAACACTGGAACGCGCGGCGAAGTACGCCGTGGGCGCCTTTCGGCGGGAAGAGCAGACGCGTGGATTGAACTTCAAGGCTGCTAGCGACGTATTCCCGCCGCCTTAGCGCTCTAAGCAAAATTGCGCGCGTGAAAAGAGAGGGCTGGGCGGGCCTTTCGCCGCTGCGACACAGGTACAACAGGAGGCGGGAGGGGAAGGAAGCAAAACGCCGCGCCTAATTTGAGCTGCGGACAACTTGGGACAAAGCGTTTTCGAAGCCAGTGTCCGCGCCGAACAGGCTCGTCTGACGCGCCAACACAATGGCTGAACGGGGTCATCTCCGAAGAAAGGTTCCGTTGGCGCCAAGGTCATTGCGCGGCGCCAACATCATTTCAAACATGCGTTCGCATTCGCCCCGCCGTTGGCTTGTGTAACAAAAGGCCGTCATACATTGAGCCGTGCTGCTGTCATGGGATGATTGACTTACCGTGAGGGCACGGATGCGCAGCGGGCGTACTCACACAGCGGTGGCAGTCTAGCAAAATCTGCTGAATTGTTTGCTGAAATCTTTTTTTTTTTTTTTTTTTTACAAGATTCGAGGGTGGGGACCTCACAGCTCAGTTGGTAAGGCATGCATGTGGCATTCAGGAGCTCTTGGGTTCAATCCCCATCGGCCTCATGCACCTTCCCGGGCAAGCTTGGCGCCCGCCACCTAGAGATATGCCGTTGGTCCCCCCGAGTGGCATTGAGCAGAGACTGCTGATGTTCTTTGGGGGAGGGGACCGGAGGGGAGGCACAGTGACTGGCCCATAGAAGAAGCTTGGTCCTGATGCTACCGGCTGACCCACGGCCGGTATCGCCCACCTGCCGTAGCAGGTATTGCACCTGCTGGTGGGTGCAGCTCTCGCATGTTCCGTCGTTGGAGGCTTGAGCATGGATGTGGCTGATACGGGGTTCCCCGTAATACTATAATGACAATAAAAAAGGCCTGAAAGGCCGTCCTGTCCAGATTTGACAGGTAATCCTACCCCTTAAGCAGCATTGACCGCGGGGAGGAGGTCGATGGTCCGCTGCACGCCGGATTTGGGGTCGAAGTTTTGAGGAGGGCCGGCGGATGAAGGCGATCCAGGGCAGGGGAGTGTGCAGGGGAGTGTGCAGAGGGGCGCGCGTACCGAAATGTTCACTGCGCGCCATTAAACGAGTGAGCGAACCCACGAGGCCGGGCGGCGGCGGGCGTAGATGTGAGGGAATATCTTGAAGTCGCTGCCGTCGATAAGCGGGCGGCCTTTTTTTCTTTTAGCATTGTCGTTTTTGGCCTGTCGTTTCCCGCTTTTCGTTTTTGCTTTTCTTTTTGTTTCATGGTTGGCGTGTCGTTCCTCTTTTTTTTCTTATTTTTCCCGCTTTTTGTTTTTTCTTTTCTTTTTGTTTCCCGGTGGGTGTGTCGTTTTGTCTTTTCGTTTTTTCTTTTCTATTTGTTTCCCGGTGGGCGTGTCGTCTCCCGGTGGGCATGTCGTTTCCCGCTTTTTGGTTGTGGGCGTACCACCCGCACCGCGGACGCTACGCTAGTTGAATTGGTTGGGCTTAAGGAATTAGCCTTAAAATATATATATATATATATATATATATATATATATATATATATATATATATATATATATAAATATATATATTTTATTCATTATATATATATATATATTTATTCATTTATTTATTGCCTTCAGGGAACCCCTAATGGGGGACACCGGCCAGGGGACAGCCCATAGCAGAGGGACCGAGCATCATCTAGTGGCCAGTCACTGTGCCTCCCTGATTACCCCTCCCCCTATGAACATCAGCAGAGACTGTTTTTTAATGCCAATTGGGGGGACCGATGGGCTATCTCTAGGTGGCGGGCGCCAAGCATGCCCAGGAAGGTACATGAGGCCAATGGGGATTGAACCCAAGACCTCCCAAATGCCACTTGCGTGCCTTACCAACTGAGATAAGCCGCTGAATTTTGCTGAAATCATACCCCGCCCGGTCACAAATGGGTTGCAAATCAGAAAGGACACGAGCGGGACTCTCTGGAAATTGCAAAATTGGTGCCTCACATGGTCACAAAGCACGGAAATTTTCTTTTACGAATTCCCAAAAGGCGAAAGAGAATTTGTCATGGCCAAAAGAGAATTTGCCACCACCTCTCGAGGTGGTAGCAAAATGCCCATCCCCGCGACACTGTCTGGGCCCAATGTTGCAGTCGGCAGCAAAACCAAAGGGGATAGCTCCTTCAAGCCACTCCATCACTTTTTAATGTCGACTGCTGACTTCAATCACTAAATCTCCTTGATGAAAGTCTGACACTGTAACCAATAGTACTAGGCCCAAGGTTGGTACTAGCATTAGCCATAATCCATATGAATGGATACAATATCGCACGTGGGCCTACCCATACGCTCCAAGGCAAAAATTTAGCCTACTGGTCAGATCCACAGCCGCCGAACATCAGTATTTGCCGCTCGAAAAACCTGGTGTCACTCGTAGCCGCCCCACACACCACTCGTCACGCCAAAGTCGCGCCTTTACTTTCTCAGTGGCGAAAACCCAAACTTTATTTGAGCTAAAGCCTGTTCGCACATGCCCTTGCCAAGACGGGGTAAGGACCCTCACTAGCAGGCGGACGCGACGAAATGCCCTATTGTACCGCGTGCTACACGGTCCCAAAGCCTTTTTTAATAAAACCAAAATAACCGCTTTTAACGTTTGCGGCCACATAGTCAAACCTGACGCCGGCCATAGCAACGCCACATCTGCGCTCGTTGTCGGGCGGCTCTAGCCTTACGCCGCCCTTTACTTCCTTGATGATAGCACTTGAGGAGAATTGGATTCGGTCAATTTACGTGGCGGGATCGCATCCGACATCAAAAGATACGATATCAGATTCACGCAATGAGTGTCTAGGCCAAGGCGTCAGGAAAAAGCGTATCCATGAATTTTGGGTAAGCGCCCCTTGGTAGCAGGGCGTTGCAAAAGGCCCGGTACTCGACAAAAAGACCCCTTTCACTGAAAACTCTTTGGGGACCCAAACAGGCCTGGGCATAGGCTTGGGGGAGCCACGGTACCGGGGCGCTGCATCTTGTCAGCAGCCTCGCAGCGTGCGAGGACTGAGGCACACTTCGGAAAGGGCCCGACAAAGTACAAAAGTCGAACCGGGCCCAGGATCCGGACACTTCCGACATGCACTACATGCGCACCAGAGAAGCTAGACACTTTCTACATGCCCACCTACGGGTGCACTAGAGGAGCTCGACACTTTCCGGATGCACACGCAGAGGCGCTTAGTTGGAACTCGGGAATCACGGAACGAGAGGTACTCTGGCGCATCAGCAAAGGGGCACTTCGGACAAAGAACGTCGAAGAGGAAGGCGAGCAAGCGCATTCGGGCGCCATAGCTACAAGCGAATAGGTACGTGAGAGAGGGGTCACGCACGCAAATGCGCACGGATCGGGGAAAGCACGTGGAGTCACGAGCTCACACGCGCACAAACGGGCACGGATCGGAAAAGCGTGGGGAGACACGTGTGCGAACGCGCACGGATCGGGAAAAGCGCGTGGAGTCACACGCTCCATGTGCACAAACGCGCACGGATCAGGAAAGCACGGGGAGAAACGCGCACAAACTTGCACGGATCGGGAAAGCATGGGGAGACACGCGCGCGAACGTGCATGGATAGGGGAAAGTGTGTGGAGTCACGCGCGCAAACGCGCATGGATCGGAAAAGCGTGAGGGATCACACACGCACATGCGCAAGGATCAGGGAAAGCACGTGGAGTCACGTGCTCGCACGTGCGCAAGCGAGCACAGATCTGGGAAATCGTGCAGAGTCACGTACGCACACTCGCCCAAACGCGCACGTCGGGGATAACTAGGCGCACACGGGCAGACTGTCGGGATCAAACGCATGTACCCGCTCACATTCGGGAGATGGATCAGGACGAGTGGGAAGATCGCGCGCATCAACGCGCACCTGCGTACGTTCGAGAAAAGGGCGCGGATGGCCGCGCGCATCAGCGCATTCACGCACGAATCGGGATCTGGACGCATGAGAAGCTCGTGCGCATTTAACGCGCACCCGCGCGCATTCAGGAGCGGGGCGAGGGTAGCCTCGCACATCAGCGCGCACACACCACACAAACGGTCCTCGAAGTGGAACTGGGTCTTTGGGTGTGGGTTGAGACTTGGAGCGCGGACCAGTGGGCCTTGGAATTCGAAAAGAGACCAAGGTTTGACCGGCGGACCAAGACTTTGAAGGCAGCCACGGATTCCTTCGGCGAACCGGAATTTTGAAGGCGGACCGCGAATGAACCAGCTGGCCTGGACTTTTGAAGGTGGATCGCGAATGTACCGGAGGGCCTAAACTTCGAAGGCGGACCGTGACTTTGACGAGACCGAGACTTTGGACGGGATCGTGAGTTTGGACGGGACCGGGACTTCGGACGGGACCGTGAGTTTGGACAGGACCGGGACTTTGCAGGGGCTGTGACTTTGGGCGGGACCGAGACTTTGGACGGACCGTGACTTTGGACTGGACTGGGGTTTTCGGCAGAGACCAGGACTTTTGAGTTAAACCAGGGCCTGCAAACCAGGCAGGAACATTTGAGACCGGGCTGGGACTAGAGTAAGACAGGGTGAGACCTGAACCCGTGCGGGCTTCAACGAGAGGGGGAAATTTGTCCGAGGTACAAACTGGTTGACTCAGTCGGTTGGGAGCTGGACTTGATCGTTGGGTTTTTCTCCTTCTGAGGGGAACAGGCAGTAAGGTCGACTCATCGTGAAACTAGATCGAGAACAGTGGCCACGATGGACGCTCGATTCAGCCTCAAACATTGAGAGTTCGAGCACTATTCCATGGGATCAGCGGCCCTGTTACCGACGACGGGAACCCGATTAAATAGAAACATATTTTTTGTTCCTTCCATACGGTGGACTATGAGAGACTCGTGGTCGTGTCTATAGTCATTTCCAATCTCCATTTATGTGGACGTGGACTAACAGCTTTCTTGCAGGTTACAGGAGCCCCGAACGACCCTCCCGTGGGTGACAAACACGGCGTGAGTTACAAGGTCCGATCGGTGTGCCGACAGACTTCTTCTTCCGGTCGACAGTGGTGTCGTTGTCGGGGAAGGCTGCCTCTTGGGACTTTGGTCCGCCTGTAACCGCAGGGGCATGCAGGATTAGAGTTGATTGTTTGGGGAATCGCGCCTGGATATTACTCGGTGTGTGCAGGTGTGGTGCAGGCGCGAGCGGACGGACAGCGGATGCTCGACCCATTGCGACGTGCCCGATGAAATGTTGATTTTTAATTTTTCATGGATACATGATTGTTGATCTTTGCATTTGAATGGATTCATATGCTTCTTCCTGCATATTTGCGATTGAGAGAGGTATGCAGTCCCTCCCAACGGCCCAGATGGTCTACTGCCAGGTCCACCAGCGTTTCCCTATGGTCTAGAGGGGGGTCGAGCGCTGTTAGTCGCACTCCCAAAATGCGCAAGGTTGTTTCCTTGGCTGCCCATGAGACTTGAGGCTCTGGCGGCGGACCAATGTCCTGCGGGTGTAGCCACCACCACTTAGTTTTAGATCCCGAATTGACTTTCATATCTGCTGCCAGTGAAAAGTGATATACGACTTGTGTCAAAGCACGAAGACTTTGGTCGTCCGCTTTGATCAGCACCGTAAGATCGTCTGCGAAGAGAGATGTGATCGGTATGAGGTGCTCTGGTACATCAGAGATGGGGATTTTGCGGATCTGTGGGTGGGATCTAATAAGGGCGGCCGGGGATTCCATCACGATAACAAAGAGCAGGGGTGCAATGGGATCCCCTTGTCTGACCGACCTCTGAAGGAGGATCGGGGCTGCTAAATGGCCATTCAGCGAGATGTTTGTTGATGTCGACCTATGTAAGAGCTGCACCTAATTTGAGAACACCGGACCAAAGTTCATCTTAGTCAGACACATGTCCAAAAAGTCCCAGTCAACGTGGTCATAGGCTTTCTCGAAGTCTATGAAGAGTTTCGCAGCCTGGACCGTACGTTGACGGGCATACTTGATAGTCTCGTTAACTAGTAGGATATTGTCTTGGATGTTACGATTAGGCATGAAGCCTGACTGATCTGGGTGTATGAGAAGGTTCATCAACGACAGTAATCTTCTAGTGAGTGTCTTAGCCACCAGTTTGTAGGGGACAAGAAGTAGGGTAATTGGCTTGTAATTTCTGATTTCCTCTTTATCCCCTTTCTTGTACAGGAGAGTAGTGACACCTTGTCCCATCATGCCTCCGAAGGAACCTTCTCTCTGCACTGCTGTAATGTATTCCATCAGATCGTCTGATAGCAGGTCCCAAAAGTTCTTCCAAAATTCTTTGGGGAAGGCATCCACTCCCGGCGTTTTTTCGTCTTCCATCTCCTCCAGGGCCTCCGAGACTTCCTCTCGGGCTATAGGTTTGTCCGTCCGACTCTTTGGGGAAGGGTGAGGCGAGTCTGAATCACTTGCAGCAGCTCTTCCCTTGCATGGAGGACCTCATTCTGAGGTCTGTTGGGTGTCTCTGATGTGAACAGTTTTTGGTAATATTTTGATGCATAGTCCACTATGGTATATGCGTTAGAGGCCACCGGGGCGTTGGGATCAAACAGGTGTTTGAGTCTAGGGACTGTGTTTGCCCTTGCTCTTGCTTTGGCTTTGTTGAAGAAGGTTCTTGCCATTGTCCCTTCTGTTTGATCCCGTTTGATCCTCGCGTGGATCCTCCAAGCTTGCGATTGTCGGTCTATGTATTCTTGGAGGTGGTTTCTCGCTGTTTGGAGTTCCTGGAAAGTAGCTTGATGTGTAGGGTTTTCCATTAGCTGTTCATCCCACTCTTCCAGCCGGCTCATGAGTCTCTCTAGGATGGCCTTACGGTTTCTCGCGTGTGGATAAAGTACTTTTTAGCACGGTCTCTTAGAGTCTTAGTTGTGCAATGCCGTCATTGAACCATGCAACTTTGTCCCCTGATGGAGGTTTTTGTGTTTGCCAGTAATGCCAGAATGTGTTGACCATGTCCTTGAAGGTGGGGACGGGCAGCAGGGAGGTGTTAAGTTTGTAGAATCTTGGGCCCCTCTTTATGTGGCCATGGAAGGATAGACCGAGAGTGATCATTCTGTGGTCAAAAGACTTGCAGGGACTTATGGGTGTAATATCTGCGGTTGTGAGCAGGCCCGTCAGGTCTTTCAAGTTTGAGATTAGCGTGAGGTCGATCCTTGAGTTGGCCACACCATTCTGGCCAATGTAGGCCTTCTGAGATGGGTGCAGCAGTCTAACTGCGTCTTCCAACTGTCTGTCGTCCATAAACTGTTGGAGCATGACGGCATCAAGATGGGCGTGGGGAGGCGGCTGCATTCCGGGGTTAGATTGCTGTGAAAGTGATCTGCGATCCATTTCCGGGTAAAGAGTGGTGTTGAAGTCGCCTGCTATTATCATTGGCGCGTCATCGGGCAGGGTTTGTTGGAGAGTGAGCCAGAGGTCCACCCTGTCGGGAATGGAGATATTCGTGCGGAGAAAAGGAGTGTGCTGTCCCGGTCAGTCACACCGAGGACCCATGGTGTTACGCATGCAAGGACAGGGGCCACCTCTGCATAGATGACTTCTGCCCGAACACCCACAAACACAGGATCCAGGGACTGGTAGTCCCCCACCCGTCAGACGGGGAGAGATGGTTCCCGGAACAAAGAGAGTTGGAAGGCTGGGAGTTTAGAGCGTATGCAGATGGGCAACCAGGGAAATGGTTCTGGCATGGGAAGGACTACCTGGAGGCCTTCCCATCAGAAGCCAAGTGCGTAATTTCAGCTGACCGTAAACAGAAAGACAAGCAGGAGGTAGCCTCTCAGCCGACGGCAAAAGGGGGAAACAAGGGACGGGAGACCAAAAACGGGGGTTCTGAGGAAGCAGGGAACAAGACTGACAGGGGGCAGAAAGGACACATAACGAAAAAGGACAGTAAAAGACCACCCCCACAGCCCCCCATAGCTGCCTCTCCCCTGCCACCATGCCCCCCCCCCCTAGAAGTATATACCCAAGGTCCGGGAGAAGGAGAAACAAACCCCGACCCCCCGACCCGAACAAAATGACACCACCAAAGACGAGGGGGGACGACAGAAGGACACTGCCAAGTCTGAGGGATCAAGCCACCACAAGAATGCAGCCGACAACAGCAACAACAATAACAACCCCCCACCCCCAGGGATCCAAGAGGTGCCAGAGCAGAAGAGACTCCTGATGCCAGGGACAACCAACTTACAGGTACCAACAACTGTACTCTCGCCTCATGGCCTAACAGACAAACCACAACAGGAACTGGGAAGACCGCATCAACCGGCTGGCCCAACACTGTTGCCTCTGACTACCACAACTACCACCCACGCAAGTGCTTCCCGAAGCAACAAACACAGTGACCCCTGTCCCTTACCGGTGGGGAGGATAAAAGAGTTGAATGGCCGGCACCGGAACTCCAACATGGAAGGAGACCCTCCTCCCCCACAGATTGAGGTGGCATCACATCAGGAGGGGTGAACACACAAAGGAGATCACCCGTCTCTATGAGCAACCACCCTGCTACTGCAGCTGCCAGCCCCTCTAGGGGAAAAACAGCAACCGCTGCCAGGTGGGCCCACGACACAGCAAGTAGGCCCCATCGTCGGCACGTCACCGCGGTCCCCCCGACCGAGACCATTGGCTGCGAACGCAGCCCAGCCGCAGACACTGAACGGATGATCCGGGCAACAACTTCGTCGCACAACAGCAAAACTACTGACCAGAATAAAACGTTGTCCCCCCAAGGGATGTGGGTGAAAGCTAACTCATTGCTCAATAAGATCAAAGGGGTAGCTTTTCCCCTCATCAATGAACCACCCCCCATCCCCCCACGACCGGCCGCAAGGGACGCAGAGGCTGGGGAGCAACGACTTTGCTGCAGATCGCCCCAACAAACGGCCTCTAACGAACAGGGTGGTTCCAAGGGACAAACAAGACTACCCCCACAGCAAACCCAGGAAGGGGAAAGGATGGGACATGAACGGGGTGCCCTGGTGGGACATCCATTGGCCCGGCCTCAAATACAAAAACAGCTCAGCCAGAAGCAAGCCTTGCATGAGGAACAACGCTTGTTACTGCTGCATCAACAGGAAGACCAGGCACAACAACGCACACAACAAGACCTGCAACAACAACAATTACAACAGGAACAAAAAAGGCTCCACCTCCTCCAGCTCCATCAGAAGCAAGCAGAGGTACGATTGCATAAGGAATTGCAACAACAGCAAGCTCGGCAAGAGCAACATCGCATACAACCGCTTTCCCAACAGGAAGAGATGAAGCAGGTACAGGTGCAACAGGAATGTGATAATCAACAAAAACTGATATACCAACACCAACAACAACACAACCTCCTGCTACAGCACCAGACGCAAGAAGCGCAGTGCAGCCAACACTTGCAGCAGCAACAACAACAACACGAACACCACAAACAAATGCAAATGCAGATGCTGCGGCAAGTACACTGGCAGGCTCAGCAACATCAACATCAACACGAGATGCATCAGGCGAGTATCCAAGAACACCTTCGACTCCTGCTACAGGCGCAGTTGGAGCAACATCACCACCAACAACAACAAGAACAACTGCTGCAACAACGCCACGTCCAGCTACAATGGCACCAGCACCAGCATGAACAAGTTCTCCATCAACAACAGCAACAACTGCAAGCCTACTGGCAGCAACAAATGGAGAACTAGAGGCAACTGCAATACCAACAAAGCCAACCGTGCATGTTGGGCCTGCCAAGCGGGCGACAACAACACTGCTTGCTGCTGTAGGACACTCACCCGACACAGGCCGGACAAGAACCTCAAGACATGGACACATCGGGAGCTGACAATAAAGAGTCGGTTTTCACTGGCGAGCAGCAGCACCAGCCCCTATCTGCTGACGAAGAAATGGAAGCAGTCCCCTCCCCAACTACCGAGTCCCCTACTGCCGAGTTGCTCTACACTAATGCAGAAGTTAAACAGAAGCTTTGCTTCCTCAGAGACTGGACCTTGATGAAAATCTTCTCACTAACGGATGACAAACCAGCAGACAAATTGAATACTGGTCACTGGGAAGAAGCAAAAACTTGAACGGTCCTGATGCACAGCCCCGGGATTCTGGCCACAGTCCAAAAATACATCGACGCCTCAGCGATTGACTGGATGGATGTGGGGGCTGCCATTGTCTACGTTGTAAACGAATTCTTCGATAAAATTGAACAATTTGCAAAAGAACGGTTAGTGCCCTCAGAGCATGTTGAACGATTGCACAACCAGCATCGACAGGTAGAAGTGTTCCTTCACGAGGGTCTGGCCTGGCCCAAGACCCTCGTGAACGAACTCTATGATACGCTTTACGGGACTCTATGGACCGCAGACCCTCTGCCCGGGCCACAACGGGCAACACAACAGCAACAACTAACAACGACCCGGGAACCACACCCCGCCCAATCCAGGGATCAACTGGCAATCATCCACATGGAAGTACAAGGTCCCCCTCGGGAACAGGCCCCACCACACCCCACCCCACTCCGGCTCAGCCACTCTGATGTGGTGCGTGGGTCAAGGAAACAGGTACAGAGGGAGTGCAGGGCGCAGTCCTTCCCAACACTCTATCCTTTCCCAAAGGCATTAAACCGGTGATACCGCTGATACAGCACCGTAACAGCCCACGCAAAGCCCGATCAGACTTCACATGGTTCACACACCACGAACTTATAAAACCTCTCTACCGACAGATTTAGAACTAAATATGCGTGGACTTGACGCAGAGTGCTGACCTTCGTGCAGATCTTCCTCGAGGATAACGCATTGGAGGACTATCATCAGTGGGAGGACCCACCCTTTGTACACCCAGTCAAGCACTAGAAACAGATGCCTGCAGGAGGTGCCAAAACTAAACTCCAATCAATGGAAGATACCGATACACAACAGGAGTCACATGGCCCCTTCGTAGACCCGGTCGGGAACTGCCCTAACCTGCGACCGTCACAAATCAGACCACAGTCACAACCTCCGTCTCCTGTCTCGCAGCAGAGGCCCCCCTTGCTGCCCCCCCTTGGCCGCTCTGCCACCCCCACCACAACGACCGCAGTCCCCACCACAGCAACCACCGTCCCCCCCAGTCTTCCCCCGGGTCAAGAAGCAGCCCCAATGGGCCGCACGGCTGGCGCAAGCAGATCTGGACATCTGATCGCTGAACGTAAATGGCCTCATCCAGGCATCCACAGCAAAAAAAGAGGCCATTATGAACATGGTCAAATGCCCAATAACGGGCCAATGGTCGGATGCTGTATGTGAACAAGAGACACATCTGCAAGACACGCCTCCACATGCAGTTAAGGCACAAGCAGTCAGGCCCTACAGGGCGTTTAATGCACCGGCCACAGAAAGAGTGTCAGCGGGTGTATCAATATGGCTCCCGCCCTCATCAAGAATAAGCCCAATCTCAATGAAGTACGACAAGCAAGATGGCAGGTGGGTGTCAATTAAGGCCACAATCCAGAATGAAGAATTTTACCTGGTATATGTGTACGCCCCAAACGACCCCGCCGACACGGTGGACCTCTGACTCACTCTCCACCAAACCCTGCCCGATGACGCGCCAATGATAATAGCAGGCGACTTCAACACCACTCTTAACCCGGAAATGGATCGCAGATCACTTTCACAACAATCTAACCCCGGAATGCAGCCGCCTCCCCACGCCCATCTTGATGCCATCATGCTCCAACAGTTTATGGCAGGCAGACAGTTGGAAGACGCATTTAGACTGCTGCACCCATCTCAAAAGACCTATACCTGCTTGTCAGATAGAGGCCAGAATGGTGTGGCCAACTCAAGGATCGACCTCACGCTAATCTCAAAAGACCTGACGGGTCTGCTCACAACCGCAAATATTACACCCATAAGTCCCTGCAAGTCTTTTGACCACAGAATGATCACTCTCGGTCTATCCTTCCATGACCACATAAAGAGGGGCCCAGGATTCTACAAACTTAACACCTCCCTGCTGCCCGTCCCCACCTTCAAGGACATGGTCAACACATTCTGGCATTACTGACAAACACAAAAACCTCCATCAGGGGACAAAGTTGCATGGTTCAATGACAGCATTGCACAACTAAGAGACCGTGCTAAAAAGTATTTTATCCAACACGCGAGAAACCATAAGGCCATCCTAGAGAGACTCATGAGCCGGCTGGAAGAGTGGGATGAATAGCTAATGGAAAACCCTACACATTAGCCTACTTTCCAGGAATTGCAAACAGCGATAGACCACCTCCAAGAATACATAAACCGACAATCGCAAGCTTGGAGGATCCACCCGAGGATCAAATGGGATCAAACAAAAGGGACAATGGCAAGAACCTTCTTCACCAAAGCCAAAGCAAGAGCAAGGGCAAACACAGTCCCTAGACTCAAACACCCGTTTGATCCCAACACCCCGGTGACCTCTAACGCATACACCATAGTGGACTATGCATCAAAATATTACCAAAAATTGTTCACATCAGAGACACCCAACAAACCTCAGAATAAGGTCCTCCATGCAAGGGAAGAGCTGCTGCAAGCGATTCAAACTCGCCTCACCCTTCCCCAAAGAGTCGGACTGGACAAACCTATAACCCGAGTGGAAGTCTGGGATGCCCTGGAGGAGATGGAAGACGAAAAAACGCCAGGAGTGGATGCCTTCCCCAAAGAATTTTGGAAGAATTTTTGGGACTTGCTATCAAACGATCTGATGGAATACATTACAGCGGTGCAGAGAGAAGGTTCCTTCGGAGGCATGATGGGACAAGGTGTCACTACCCTCCTCTACAAGAAAGGGGATAAAGAGGAAATCAGAAACTACAGGCCAATTACCCTACTTCCAGTCCCCTACAAATTGGTGGCTAAGACACTCACTGGAAAATTACTGCCGCTGATGAACCTTCTCATACACCCAGATAAGTCAGGCTTCATGCCTAATCGTAACATCCAAGACAATATCCTACTAGTTAACGAGACTATCAAGTATGCGCGTCAACGTAAGGTTCAGGCTGCGATACTCTTCATAGACTTCGAGAAAGCCTATGACCACGTTGACTGGGACTTCTTGGACATGTGTCGCTGATACAGAGAAGATTAGCATGGCCCCTACGCAAGGATGACACGCATAAATTGAGAAATCGTCTTCTTAAAAAAAAAAAAAAAAAAAAAAAAAAAAAAAAAAAAAAAAAAAAAAAAAAAAAAAAAATTTTTTTTTTTTTTAAAAATTTTTTTAAAAAAAAAAAAAAAAAAAAAAAAAAAAAAAAAAAAAAAAAAAAAGCTCAACCTGCCACCAAGGACTCAAGCTAAGGCGCCCAAGTGCCACCCTAAGCAGCGCTTTTCATTTGTTCCCCTTTTTTCTTCTTTTTTGAAAAGTTCATATCGCAGTAGAGGCTAGATGCTAGGCCTCGGGAGGTGCCTGTCGTTGTACTCAACCAGTGGGGAGATCAGATGGCTTGTGACAGCCCCAAGGACAATCTCCTCTTCATCTACGCTGATATAAAAGAATACAAGCATAGATGTTTTGTTTTTCAAGAAAATACTTGAAAGAAAATTTACATCGTCATGCCAACTGCCTTCAACTCTCGCCCAGAATAATGCCCTTCCTCCCCCCGCAAAAGAGCAACAACCCTATGGAGTGATGATTCCTTTACACGGGCTGTGAAGCTCCTCGCAAGCAGCGACATAAAAAAAACTGCCACTTGTACTATAAATGTGCCCACGATAGCAGATAAAAAAAAAAATTCCCAAAAAAAAAGAAGAGAAGTTGGTGAATAAGCAGCACAGGGTTCCACATAGATTGTACCTTTATCAACCGCCACAGTGCCATTTCTCCCCTTTTCTTGCCTCTTCTGTTCTCGTTTACCTCCTGAGGCTGTCTTCTCTTCTGGCTTACCTCCTAAGGTTGTCTTTTTTTTTTTTCTCTCTCTCTCTCTCTCTCTCTCTCTCTCTCTCTCTCTCTCTCTCTCTCTCTCTCTCTCTCTCTCTCTCGCTCTCTCTCTCTCTCTCTCTTTTTTTTTTTCCCCTTACCAAGCAGAAGTGTTGGACTATACCAGATTTCAACCAGGCAGGATACTGGTTGTCTTTTTTTTTTTTCTTTTTTTTCTTTTTTTTAAGTTCCACCATCTGGACTCGAACTGCCGTCTGTATTTGAATAGTTCATGGGTGCACCCACCGAGCTAGGCTTAACTGGATACTGATGGTCATGTTTCCCCACCCCCCCTCTTCTGGGTAACCCCTCTGTGAAACCTCTATCCTGTGGCAGCAATGATACCAGCAAGTTTCGCAGCTNGACAAAACTTGGTGTAAGCTGCTCGTCTGGACTCAACCAACGCAATATTCTTGAGTGAGATAGAAAATTATGGTATGCACGCAAGCAGGGCGGGGAGAGTGTGCAATGACAGGAGCTGAACCAGCCGGAGCGTAAATCTGAAGACGTTAGCGAGGAAAGGTGAAGACGGGCATCGCAACAAAATGTAGTGATGGGGGACGACAAATGGGGAAAGCACGTGAAGACGGCTTTTGAGACAGAATGTCGGAACATGGAGTGCCCGAGGGCAAAGGGACGAGGAGAACAAGGAGGAGGAAGGATAAGAAACTCACTTGTGACCAAGTGCTGCTGAAGACCAGTCACTGCCATCTCCCTCCATGTCATGCATAGTTTTTTCTGCTCCTCTTGTTTGTCCCTGTCTCACCCTCTTCCCCTTTTGGACCTACATCCTCACCTTACAGGCTTCCTCCCCCTCACCCTACTTCCCACCTTTCGTTGCCACTTAAAAGTCACTAACACACTCCAGTCCACACTATCTTTCAGAACCCTACCAACAGGCTCAACATTCCACGCCTTTGCACAACCCTACGACAAGCTGGCCAAGTACAGGGCAGCGTGC